ACAAGAGATGGGCTCCTCCTGGGCTCAGGCACCCTCCTCGGACCCATTGCGTCTCTCCCCCCCCCAATCCTAAGGCCAAGGGGCAGAACTTGCCAGATGGGGGGGCAGCCTGATGACCACTGGGGGTGACCTGCTCTCTCCTCTAGATTGTGACCGAGCCACACAGCACCCAAAGCTCGCTCCGGGGGCTCTCCCTGGACCCCTCCAAGATGGTGGAAATCCCCTTCCAAGGTAGCCAGGAAGGAGGGGGAGGCCTGGGGGGGGGGTCTCTCATAATTCTGAACAGTTACTAAGCAACCCGGTGTCAGTCGAGGATCCTACGGACTGCTCCCCCCCTTTCTTTTCTCCAGTTGAGTTTCCGGCACCCAAAAGTGAATCGGTCCAGAAATTCCAGGTTTACTACCTGGGGAGCGTTTCCGTGGCCAAGCCCGTGGGTAAGCAGGAGAGGCGGGATCCCAGGGGACCGGCAGGGGGAAGCAGGAAGGGCAACCTTGACCGGGGGGAGGGGGGGGAACATCCTGGCCCCCTGCCCATGCGGTCCCCAAGCCCCCGGCCCCCACCCTCCCCGCCCCGGGGGGGGGGGGGGGGGGGGGGGGGGGGGCGTTTCCGCTTGGCACGCTTGCCCGACCCAGTCCCCCACAGGCCCCAAAACGGTACCAGGGCTGGGGACAGCTGCCCTCGAGGGCCCCCCCTTTCTGCTGCAGTGGTCCTGCTAGCTAGGGTGACCCCTTCCCAGCCCCCTCCCCTCCTGGGTCGCCTGTCCCTCCCCAGACACATCCACCTCGTGAGGGGCGCTCTTTCGGCTGAATTGCCAGGGCCCCCTCCCGCCGTTGGCTTCCCCCAAACCATGACTCTGCAAGGGGGGGAGGGGCTTCCCCCTTGTTGGAGCCTCAAGGCCAGATCCGATCGGATCTCCATTCTCCCGTTGAGCCTGGAAGTCGTCCATGTGCAGGAACCGGGTGGACGTTAGGCAGTTAGCCCAGACCCCGCGTGGGGAACCTCCTACCCACCCCCCAGATCGGAGGCCGTGCCCGCGGGGGGCTCAGGCCCCCTTCTGCCTGGGTAGGGGTGACCCCAGCGGATCCCAGGTCTGGAACGGTCCTCCTGGCTTAGCTGCTGTTGGGGCCCCGGCTTCTGCCCTTCCCACCAGGCGTAATCCCAAGCTTTGGCCCTCGCCTGGCCTCCCTGGTGAGGTCGCCCCTGCCTTTGCTTTCCCAGGCATGGAGGTCATCAACAGCGCCCTGGAGGCGGCCCTGGCGTCTGGCAGCAAGGAGCAGTGGGCGCCCGCTCAGTTCAGCGTGGCACCAGCCACCCTCACCCTCGCCCACCAGCAGGTAATGGCGGGCTTGGCGGGAGCAGCCGGGGAGGGGCTCTCGAGAGCTGGGACCGGGGAGCCCCAGGAGGGGCCAGACCCCACCCCATCCCGCCCTCGGAGGGCCTCTCCCAACTGCCGCCTTCCCCGTAGACTGACACTGTGCTGTGCGAGTGCCGCGTGCGCTTCCTCTCCTTCATGGGCATCGGGAAGGACGTCCGCTCCTTCGCCTTCATCATGGCGGCAGCGGCCGGCAGCTTCTCCTGCCACATGATTTGGTGTGAGCCCAACGCTGCGGGGCTGAGCGAAGCCGTCCAGGCCGCTTGCATGGTGAGTTTAAGATGCCCCCATACCCCGATCCTCCCCACCCCCCGGCTTGGCAGAGGCTCTGCCTTGTTGCCAAAAGGGCAGCAGGGCTCCTGCCTTCGCCAGCTCTGTGTCGTCTGCTGGGGCCCCTGGCTAGCTATTCCTGCACACACACCCCGCCCAGCCTAGCCCACGCTCCGTCCATGCCCTGCTGTAGACGGCCGGACCGCAGGGCATGGCTGGGAGGACCCTGTGCCCCAGATGCCCATATCGCCACCGATGCCCCCTCACCCACCTCCTCCCTCCTTTTCAGCTTCGCTACCAGAAATGCTTGGATGCGCGACCCCAGTCCACCGGCAGCTCCTGCCTCCCAGCCCCTCCTGCTGACTCTGTGGCTCGCCGCGTGGGCTCCACGGTTAGGAAGGGCATCCAGGCCCTGCTGGGGACCCTCCAACCCAAGCACCAGGGGTCCCAGACGCCGTGAGCTCCAGGCAGGAGAGAGAGGGACCTGCCTGCCCACCTGACCCCGGGCCCCTGCCATCAGCCTCGCAGCGCTTGGCCTGCCCCGGTGCGCGGTGGGTGGGTGGGTGTTCTGCATGAGTGCAAGATGTCTGTTTATGAGGGAAGCGTGGATCTCCACAGAGGTGTGACCTTCATGCCAGTGGGGGGAGGGAGGGAGGGAGGGAGGGAGGGAGGGAGGGGGCTTCTCTTTGGGCAGCCCTGCCACGGCTGCCAGACCTTTCCCCCACCGGCCTCTCCCCCCTCCCCGCCAGTATGCCAGAGCCTGGAATTAGCTGCAGCCGCTGCAGAGGACCTGGCTGGCACCTGGCCACACCCTGGGGAGGGGTCAGGGTCCCACAACTTCCCCCTTTGCCCAGGAGCAGAGGGGCTGGGGCTGGGGGGGGGGAGGAGCCCCTGCTGTTTGTCTTGTACTAACCCACAAATAAACTCTGTTCCAACCACCCCGACAATCTCTGGCCTGGTGTTGTGATGGGAGGGGGGAGCTGCCAACGTCCCTCTCCCCACCCCAGAAGCTGGGGAAGATGGGTGCCTGGCAGGGCTCGGGAGCACACTGGGGTCCTGATGGGTACGGGGCACCCCCCCTCCCAGGGTTTGGCACAGGAGAGGCAGAGCTTGGCTGCTATCAGGGCAGAAGGGGGGGTCAGGGTGAACCCCACTTTCTCCTCCCTCCTGCCAAGGGGAAGATGGGTTCCTGGGCGCTGCGCCCCCTGCCAGGTTGGGCTCGTCTCTCCCTGCCCTCTGGCCTTGGGGGCAGCCAGCTGGTCACGCATGGGAGAGAGCGCCAAGGGGACCCAGGCGAGCGGCTGAACCGGGCGAAAGAGGAACCTTCTGCCAGTGGAGGAGACACAGAGGCCATTTATTGTTGGGAGGGGGGAACAAAAGAGAAGGGGGGGTGCCCCTCCCCCGTGCTGGCAGAGGCTAGGCCCAAGAGCCTGCCGGCTTTTGCCTGGTGCCAGAGCAGCCCTGTGGAGGCGTCCTGGCAGCAGAGCCGCTCGGGCCTGGGCTCCTCCTTTGCGGATGGCACTCAAGCCTGCGGGCAGCAGTATGGGCAGGTCGTGCAGGCCTGCTTCCCACGCCCGCACAAGGGGCTGGAGCAGGGGTGGTGGAGGAGGAGCTGCCCAGCCATGGAGGGGAGCTGCCGAGGCAGCGGGGGCTCCCTACCCTCTCGTGAGAGTCCTGGGGCTGGGCCTTCTCCGCACCCTGGGGGCCAATTTGGAGGGCGGTGGGGCTTGCCGGGAACTTGGGCCCCACGGAGTGCCCGAGAGAAGGGACGCTGTGTTGTGCCCACCTGCACAGAGCCCGCTGGAGGGCAGGGCCACTGTGCCCCTGGGCCCTTGTCTTGGGCCTGGCTAGCAAAACCGCTGTTGCCGCCACCAGGCCTGGATTTCCGGGAAGGACAGCTGGAGGCTCTGGCAGAGTTTGGGATCAGCTGCCCGGCCGGTGCGGAGCGCGCAGATCGTGGCCTTCCGGCAGGTGTCCCCACAGGGCTCAGCGGGCGGGTGGCCCTTGAACCTCAGGTACCAGAAGTGCTGGAAGAGCCGCTCGTCGGCCTGGAGGCGGTCCAGGAGCCGGTTCCAGTCCTCCGGGAAGGCCACGGGCAGCCCGTAAGTCTCCTGGGCCCCGTAGAGGCGCTGCCACCGAGCCACGGCACCGGGCTGGTTCGCCTGCGTCAGGTTCAAGATGAACGTCTCGTGGTCAAGGACCATGTAGGAGGAGCTGGAGCGGATCCCGTCCACGTGGTAGACCCGGTACCCTGGAAGGCAGGCAGGCAGGCAGGCAGGGGTTACTGGCTCGGCTCAGGGGGGGCCCTGGCAGCAGACACCCTGGGAGGGAGGGCAGCACCTTACCTGGGTTGAGTTTGATGTAGGTGGTGACGCTGGGCGCCAGGAAGGCAATGCCCACTGGCCGGGTAATGGTCTCCTCGTCGTAAAAAATCTCAAACCCGTCCAGGTGGGTGTGGCCAAAGAACTGCCCGGCGACCGTGCCCTCAAACCTGCAGGGAGAGACAGGCCTAAGCAGGGGCTCCCCAGGCCTTTTGCCCCGGCTGGGCAGCTAAAACGGGCTGAGCAGGGATCCAGCCCGGGAGGGGGGGAAGAGGCACCCCCAGGACCCCCAGCTTGGCCGCCGAGACAGCCGGGACCACGAGGCTGGCAAGGAAGCAGCCCAACCTCAGCAGCACAGGCCCTGAAGGAGATGCCCCAAGGTCAGCAGGGACCCCCACACGGGAAACCCTTCCCCGCTTGAGGATGTCATGGGCTCGAGCCGAAGCCCTTCCTTAGCGTCCGTCTTCGGAGAGGTGGCGTGCCATGGTGCAAGACTGCCTCATCCAGGGTGGGATGCGAAAGGGGGCTGGACAGAGCTGGCCTGGCCCAACCTCGGAAGGCAGAGCAGACAGGAGAACCGCCAGAACTGGCCAAGGAGGCGGCGCAGCATAAGGCTCCTCCTGCCTTGAGCAGGGAGCTGGACTAGATGACCTTCCAGTCTTCAGGAAGTCCCCCGGGACCGGTCTGGGCCTGGGAAGCGCCCCCCCCCCCCCTGGCGGCCCTTCGGGGGGTTTTTTGGGCGGGGGTCCGCCCCCCCCCCCGCCCCCCCCCCGGAAGAGGGTCTGCAGAAGGCCTGGAGCCGAGAGACCTCCGACCACGGCTGGCCCTCAGGAGCCCTTCCTTGGGCAAGGGAGCAGCTCGGCCTTTACCTGACCTGCGACCTGGGTGGTGGGAAAACATTTCCTCCTTGGCTTTGGGAAGGGAAGGCCCCTCACCCCCGACTGCTGCCCCCCTTCAGGAGTCACCCCGGAAACCACCTGGGGGATGCGATGGCTGCTCGGCCACCAACCCAGGGCAGCAGCAACTGGGCCCCACGGCTGAGCCTGCAGCAGAGTCAGTGATACTGGGAGTGGGGGTGGGGAGCCAGGCAGGCCTTCGGTTCCCCCGCCCCCCCACAGAGCCTCCCCAGGGTGGGGGGGCCATCCTTGGAGGGAAGACCCACGCCCAGGCTGGGGCGGGCAGGGGCACCGCCCTGCGGGAGCCTGTGCGCCAACCCTGGTACCAGCACTTGCCCAGGTGCCAGGCGCCTCGTACCTGTTGATGATGCGGTAGTAATTCCAGCCCCAGCTCCGCAGGCAGTGGGAGGGCGGGATGTGGCCGATGATGTGGACCTGCAGCGGAGGGGGGGGTCAGTGGGGGCAGCCGCCAGGGCCCCCTTGCCCGAGCTTCCCCGCTGGCCCCGCTTCCGAGGAGCCCCCCCCCCCCGGCCCCCCCCATGAGCCGCCCCACCCCGCCCCCCCCCCCCCCCCCGCCCCCGGGCCGGGGGGCCCCCCCCCCCCCCCCCCCCCCCGTTCCTGCCCGCCCCAGCTGACCTTCTCTCCGCTCTCCTCCGCCCTCTGCAGGACGCCCACCAGCCACTGGAGCTGCCCGGCCGGGTCGGTGGCGTTGATCAGGAGCCAGAAGTTGCCCTCGGAGCAGAAGTTCATGTTGAGGGAAACCAGGCGGAGGCCCCGCCAGAGGGGGAGGGTGTAGAAGCCCCCCAGCCTGCCGGGGGGGAAAGGCAGGGGAGTCTCAGGGAGGAGACCCTCGGGCCCCCCCTCCCCTTCCCTCCCCTGGGGGAGCTCCCTTGGGGTGGGGGGTCTCCTCCGTCCCCTCGCCATCCGCCAGACCCCCAGCGACGGGGCCTCCTGGGCAGCCCTTTATGACGGGGGACGTCTCCAGCCCCCAGAATCCCTGAGCCAGCAGAGCAAAGCACTCTCGGACTCTGGGAGTGGCACCCCCAGTTCGTAAAGGTGCCACAGTCGCCCCGCCCTGTCTGTGCCCGGGGCAAAGGCAGCCCGACTGGTGCCATGGGGCTTCACCACCCGCCCACGCCGAAATCCTTGTTAAGCAAGCCGGGGAGGAGGCTGGGCTCCCCTCCCACCAGCCACTTCCACCCTGGGGGGGCAGGAGCGGCTTCCCTCTCCCGTGAACCCCTGGCAGAATTGAGGGGCTCTTTGGGGCTCCTCCTAGCCCCCTCCCCAAGCCGAGCCCCCTCCCCCGAGGAGCTTGCCTGATGGGGTCATGAAAAGCCTGCAAGGAGACATCCCAGCTCGGGGGGACAGGGGGGGCACCGGTGGGCACGGCTTCCCAAGGCGGCTGGGCAGGAACGCCTGGAGTGACGCCACCAGAATGGCCCCACAAGAGGCCAGGCCCCCCGCGGGGGAAATGGGCAGCCGGGGCCCTCGCTGCCTTGGGCAGTTTCGGGAGAGGACAGGGAGAGGGGGGGCTATCAGGAGGAGCCGGTCGTGGGCAGCACTGCCAGGCCAGGGGGGAGGGGAGGGAAGCATTGCACACACAACCGCCCCACACAACCGACCCTGGATTCCAATCACGGCCTCCCAGGGGGCTCTAAAGCCAGTGGGGCCACTTTTAAGGCTTCAACCCCCCGCTGGGTCTTCAAGGGGCCGAGGCCGGGCAGCCTTGTGTCGGAGCCACAGCTGTGAGGCTCCACCTGGCAGCCCCGGTTCCCACGGCTGGTGAGGCCCCCAGGGGTTTTGCTGGGCACACAGGAAGGCAACTGCCAAGAACATCTGGCCCAGGAAGAACCAGGAGAGCAGGCTGCACCCGCCCAGTCGCCAGGAATGCGGCGGCGGCAAAACCTTCCGGCCGGGAAAACCAACCCAGTCCTATTATGGCTTCCGGGGCCACCCAGCTCAGCCAAGCGGCCTTTTTGTGGTGGGGGAGGGGCTTCCCATTCCAACACCCAGAATCCTGCCGTTTGGCTCCACCAGCTGGCGGCCGTCCTCCCTGCCGGCTCTGCTTAGGGGCAGCCGGGGGGCAGGACAGAAGGAAGAGAAATCAGCATCAGAGCTGC